ACTGTACTTATGAATACCTTGTAATTATTGCTGACTTGTTTCATGCTATTTTGGCTTTCTAATCTCTTCAAGTATGCTGCTCAAAATTCTTGTATTTGAAATATGTCACATAAGCACACTTGTGCAGGCACACACACGCACACACACACACACACACACACACACACACACACTTCATTGTTTTTATGATTCTACATACAGTAATTGGTGGGGAAAGCTTTAAGGCTGCTGTCCTGTTCTGGCTTGTTGAATAAGTCTCAGTCTATATTTCCAGAATGTTTTTATATTGATTGTCTGCACTACATAAGAAGCCCTTTTCAGTGATTTTAACTGGTTTGCTATAACTATGGCAACTATATGTCCTAGATTTTCTAGGATGATCCTGATTTCAAGGACTGATTTAATTGTCTCTATAAGTACACAAATAATAGTCAGAGCATGTGTTCCAATTTTTAGCTCAGAAAATATGATCGTTATATCTATCTTCTATTTCAGCACAGGTCATAGAATCTGCGTGATCTCCTGTGCAGCTGAAATGCTACTCAGAAATGCGGGGGAGAGGCTATGATGAACAACACATTCATTAGTGTTTCTGGTTCAGGACCAGGAACAGGTCTCTCTCCTTCCTGATATCTCATCATGCCAGATCATCTTCTTTCCTTCTTTTTACCTCTCCTTCTCACACACTTCTTCCTACATTCCCAAGTAGTATATCAGGGACAGTCAAGTGATGTGTGAAGAAACGTGGTAGAAGAGGGATCACCAGGATTTTGCTTCTGCAACTTTGTGTTTAAAGTTGGAATTGAAAAATCAAGAGTATGTAGTGCAAACCTTCCTCACGTGAGACTTCTGGAATTTTATGTGAGTGATTTGGAAGTCTAGGTGTGTTTTTATTTTTCCAGGGGATGGAGGGAATTAGGGATGATTGGAATTTTGACACCAAAAGCATTTATTTATTTGTTTTCTTTATTTGGAGCATTAATTCTAAAGGTTTGAGATGGCGGGAAAGTAAGAAGTCACTCAGGATGAAGGAATTGGAAGGTAATGTTGCTTGCTGGCCAAGCTAAGCGTTGTGAACAATCAAAGTACTGCCCAGTTCTCTGTTCGGCATCAGTGTAAACTATTGACAGCCAATGATTTTACTTAGAGTGCTGGTCTCCTTGTGAAGACTGAAGAGAATGCTATGTTGTATTATTATTGTTGTAGATATTTAGGTAGGCCTCCTAGGATTACAAAGATTCTTTGGTAAGGGCATGTGTACCCCAGAGCCTAGGAAACATGGAACAGCTGGGTATTAGGAAGAATAGGAGCCTTCAAAGATCCAGTCCTTGTAAAAAACTGCAGTTTGAAGGCCTTTATGAATCCTAGGGAACTCCGGAAGCTTCTGGAGCTGTGGGTCTCCACCCCCAACACCCCCATGCTATGTGTAGGACTGAGCTAATTCTGAAAGGTCCAATTTATTCTAGTATCTCTTTTGATTGGCTTATTTTTCAGTACCTTGAAGCTTCTCAGAGTTTCTTTTTTTTCTTTTCCTTTTCTCTTTAAAAATCCTATTTTAGACTTTAGTGAATGATAAATAAAATTGTCATATTGGTATGGAGCTTTCATACTGTATAGTTCACCCATTTGGGGTATACAATTCTATGAGAGTATATGCAAAGAGTTCTGAAAACATCACCATAATCTAATTTTAGGACATTTTTATCACTGCTCCTCCCCCCCCCCCCCCCCCAAAGAAACTTTGTTCCAACTAGAAGTCACTCTCCATCTTACCCCCTCCTAGCCCCTGGCAAGCCTAATCTACTTTTTTTCCCCCTATGAATTTGCCTATTTTGGACATTATATTCAAATGGATCATACAAGAAGTGGTCTTTAATGTCTGAATTCTTTCACTTGGCATAATGTTCTTGGGGTCCATCCACATTGTTGCAGATGTCAGTACTTTATTACTTTTTATTGCTGAATAATATTCCATTTTCTGGAAATGCTACATTTTGTTTACCAATTCATTAGCTCACAGCATGTGAATTGTTTTTTGCTACTGTTATAAATGAAATTGTCTTCTTAGTTTCATTCCCAGCTTGTTAATTGCTAGTGTATAGAAATTCAATTGGTTTTTGTATGTTGATCTCCTATCCTGCAAACTTGCTGAATTTTTAAAATTATTTCTAATAGTTTTTTTTAAGTGGATTTCTTAGGAGTTTTGTATTTATAAGATCATGTCATGTCATCTGTGAATAGAGATGGTTTTACTTTTTATCCAGTCTGGATACCTTTTATTGTTCTTATAATTTCTGCTCCCTGTCTTTAGCTTACTGTGATGCCTCATAGTTCTGCCTCAGAATTAGAGCTTTTCTCTTTGCTATCTTTTTGCATGCTCTGAAATTTCAAGTTTAAATTTGAGAAAGAAACAGAGATAGAGAAAAGGGAAAAAGACATATAGAGTCTGAGTGGCTCAAGCGTTAGCTGCTATTTTTGTTTGGATAAAGCTTTGCATTCTAGCTCATAGGTGTCTGGGTAATTAAATGACACCTTTGGGTTAGATGATCACTAATAAGCTGTAGCCAGAGAGAAAGGGAGATCACAGGTCCTGGGTAGCTCAGGAAATTATCTTTAGAAGGGACTGTAGGCATGGCTTGGCCTTGAAATTGATACAGATAGACCAATGTTGTTATAGTAGGCATTTTTCTTTTTTTTTTTTTAATTTTTTTTTTTTTCAACGTTTATTTATTTTTGGGACAGAGAGAGACAGAGCATGAACGGGGGAGGGGCAGAGAGAGAGGGAGACACAGAATCGGAAACAGGCTCCAGTCTCTGAGCCATCAGCCCAGAGCCTGACGCGGGGCTTGAACTCACGGACCGCGAGATCGTGACCTGGCTGAAGTCGGACGCTTAACCGACTGCGCCACCCAGGCGCCCCTAGTAGGCATTTTTCGAAGAATGAGATGTATTTTTTTTCAAGTCAAGGTTTTTTTTTTCCTTTGTAATGTTGGTTGGAATGGATTATGAATTCCAAAGTATTTTTAGATTCCCTAATAAGATCAGTTACATGTTTCTCTGTCATAAAATATATATTATGGCAATATATTACCTCTCATACTTCGGCCTCCTCATCTTTATTTTGTTGAAAGAACTCAGAACTTTATTTTTGTTGAAAGAACTCAGCTTAAGGGCATAGATTCAAGATAACTAGTGATTCCTTCATATCTCTACTCTTTCCATAAACTCCTGTAATTAGTTATTTTGATAAGAATTTACTTAACATTTGCTTTATGTAGAACTTCCAATAGGTAGTATATGTTGGGGTAATAAGTGAGGAGAGTGTGTGTGTGGAGGGAACGTGCCAATGAAAGGAAAGACATAATCCCTGGTATTTTTAGCTCCCTGAAAAAGCAAAGTTTAAACACAGTATACAATTTGGGGAAAAGTACAAAGTAACATGTAGTCTCAAAACTGCAAAGTTGCATAATAGAATTTGGAAACATATATAGTGAAAATTAAAAAAATGATGACATAGGATAAATTCACTACTCTGCTACAGGGATACAGAGATGAAAAAGACATAGTCTTGGTTCTAAAGATTCCTACAGTAATAAATCAGCACATAATTGAAACTCAAAAATGTTATTGCAGTTTAAGGGGTGCCTGGCTGGTTCAGTAGGAGAAGCATGCAACTCTTGACTTTGGGGCTGTGAATTTGAACCCCATGTTGGGTGCAGAGGTGAGAAAAACTTAAAAAGAAAGTGTTACTGAAATTTTGTGAAGGCCTATGTAATAAGAGGATGCTGTGTTGTGGTTGGTTGTTTGTAATGTTGAAAGGGATCCCAGGATCGTACTGTCATTAGCTTTATTTCCAAATCGACCTCCGTAAGACTAAGGTCATATGACTAAATTTACATGTCACAGAGTAGCAAATAATAATTTTTAAGGGGGGAGGGGCAGAGAGAGAAGGGGAGGGAGAATCTTAAGCAGGTTCCATGCTCAGTGCAAGCCCATCGCGGGCTCAATCCCATGAACCATGAGATCGTGACCTGAGCCAAAATCAAGAGTCCCACCCTCAGCCGACTGAGCCACGTAGGCACCACAAAAATAATACTTCTAAATGTGTGTGTACATTACTTAAAAATTATTTACTTGTCTTGTAGAGGTGAAAGTCTGAACTAGAAACTTTCCAAAATAGATGATCTCAACTTTGTCTGAAGTAGTTTCAATTCTTCCACTAATTCATGCCACTTTTTAGAAATCACTTAACTTTTTCTTTGCCTCATTGTATTATGGCCTAACTAGCTTATATGACTGAAGTTGAAGGAGACACAAGAAAGTGAATGATCTGCATGTTTGGTGCAAATAATTTATGGTCTTTGTTTTCACATATGCAGATTTGAAAACCATTATATTTAAAATTTTACTGTACAAAAGTAAACAAAACAGTACATAGTATATAGTCCTCATGAGGTAAGGCCATTGGCCAAGTTTTTAATTTTTATTTTTACTTTTTTATGGTTAAGACTAGACTAAATGTTAAATTTTGCCTCAGATTTTATAGTTAGGAATCTAGGAATGGCTTCATTTGCCGGGTGCATCTCCGTAATTAAACTGTGAGTTCCTTTAGGAGAGACATTGTATCTTTTAACGCACCTACCTAAGTTTCTAGAATATTTTCAAAGTACGCTTTGTTAGATAAACGAACTTCCTTGAAAGTTGTCAGGCTAGAAGCCTTTCGGGCAGTCAAGACCACATCTCCCAGAATGCCATGCTCCCCTTGCGCCCCAGGTCTGAGGCGGGAACGTCCCAGCGACCATCGCGCCTGATGGAGACTACAATTCCCAGTGCCACCCAGGGGCTCCGGAAACCTTGTCAAACAGAACCTGTTGCCATAGCATCCGGGTCTGGACCAACCAATCAAGGCGCCCCTACCGAGAAGAGGCGGGCCATTCGTATCTCCGACCAACCGGAGGCCTTTTTGTTGTGGAGCGTGCCCGGAGGAGGCGGGAGTTCGGGACCGGCGCCTTCTCCTTGCTTCTCGGGGTCGTGGCCTTGCTCCCGCCGTGCAAGGGAAGAGTTCGGGCGTGTCCACGCGCGTGTGTGCGCGTGGGGCCTGAAGTGCTCGTGCGTCCAGCTAGGTCTCTGTGGGGCAGAAGCAGGAGCCATGGGCGGGACCTCCAGCACCCGCCGGGTCACCTTCGAGGCGGACGAGAATGAGAACATCACCGTGGTGAAGGGCATCCGGGTGAGTGACAGTGGGCGGGCAGAGGGCCAGCACCCGGACTCGGACCCCAAACCTCCGATCTTCCCGGGACTCGCTCAGCCTGGTTTCCCCCGTCCCGGCCCCCAGTGTTGTCCGGCCCGAAGCCGAGTTCTCTGCAAAGAAGCTTGAAGTTTCAAGACTTGGGACATTCATTCAGAGATATTTCCTGGTTGTGTGCTAAGTGCTGAGCACTGTGCTGGAGGGGGTTGCGGGGGTGGGGGGGAATGCCACGTTGAATTAAACCGTCCAGGGGCTCACAGGCTAGATTTGACTCTTGCTCACGAGTAGTGGGACTTTATTTGAACCCCCTGTCTTCCCTTCTGTGAAATGGGGCTTGTCTTACACCCCGTGGGTTCAGGACCCCAACTCTCGTTTTGCACTGCCCCCGTTAGCTTTCTCAAGCTGAATTGGCTTTGAGGAGACCTTTACCTGCTCTCGGTCGTTTGGTGCCCTCCCTGTGATACCACCCGTTGCCGCACGCTCGCACACCCCATAGACTTCTGACCTGCCTGGGGTGACTTCTCCCTTCTTCGCTTTCACTTGGTACCTCCTCTTTCCCTCTGTGGCCAGCCGCCTAAGTTTTGGGCTAGACCCAGTTGCTTCAGCACAAGCGTCTGCCAGCCTGACAGGGCCTGAGACAGGTTTGCGATTTTTCAGACCGCTGGGAGTCATACAATCAGTTCTCAACCAGACGTCGCAGAGGAATTTTTAATGTTCCCGCACGTGCTTGACACATAAACTGACAGCTTGAATTTTCTCTAAGGTGTCAGCACACCAGCACTAACTTCATTAACACACTCGCTGCTGCACCTGAATTTGGAGCCTCTTTTTTTTTTTTTTTTTTTGAAAGTATGCCTGAACCTAGTAAATAAAGCGATTTCACTTCTGAACGTTTTATAATATCTTTCATTTTTCTTCCTCTGTAATTACACCGCCAGCACAAGTAAATGAAATGTATCAATTATTTTTAGCATGTTATCAGGAAATAAAATTTCTTAAATATTTACAATGTTTACAAACTTTTTACTGTGAGACTGTTACCTTGAGAAGAATTTATTAAAGTTTTCTTTATAGAAACTCAGACTGTTGAACTCAGTTTTTGGTCTGTGACCACCATTTCTTTATATTAATTAATGATAGTGCCACATTTTGTAATAGAATGTCTGAGGCTGCCTTGCATTGTTGTGGTTTAGTTGGTACTCTTTGGAGTAAAATAAAAACTACTATAAACTGAGTTTTATGCAGAGATTTGTTTAATCTTGCTTGAGGCTTTGATTGTTCCATACCAGAGAGTGAAAAAGAAGAGTAAGAGGAAACAAAATAAATTTTGGGTGAGAAAACATTGGCCAGAAGAATGTATAAATCATTATTCTCATGCTCGAGTACAGACACAGTGATGAGAGCAAACTAAATTAAAAGAAAATTTGGCCACAGCACAGAGGTTAATATCAAATATTAGGTAAGGTTAAATAGGGTAAGTATGATGATAGGGGTATATAATAGACTAAAATGGAGAGATTGTTTAAAAAACTTTTTCTAAACTTTTTAAATAAAAGAAGCTGTGTCTTTTGGCTGCTCAGCTTGACAGCTGTATTCTATTTTTTTTTCCTTTCTCACAGAGCGCACTTTATTTATAATAATCCAAGCACACACCATGCTCCTTTTGACCTCTACGCTTTACTTTTCTTCAGGATCTGCCCTTCACCTGGAGTGCCCTTGCAGTGTTCTCCCAGTTGCTTCAAATCCTTCTTTTTCAAGAACAGTTTGCATCATTCCGAGCTTTGGTTTTCTCATCTGCAAAATGATGGGGCTTGAGTACATGTCTAAGATCTCTGAGCTTTTCAAGTTCTGAAAGTCTGTGAGTCTAGTGGCATTATAAATTTCTTGTAGCCATAGTCAACCCATCGCATTTTCCTCTAAAAATGGCACGCTCTTGAATTGTTGAGTATTCGGGGGTCATTCTGAGTTCTTTGAGGTCATGGTCAAAAGAGCATCAGTCAGAGTTAAACAGACCTCGGTTTTAAGTCTCAGACTAGGCATTTATTAGCCTGTGGCTTTGGACAAGTCACTTTTTTATATTTGGTAAGAAGTTGAGGTAAGGTATTTAAAATATGGGGGCACGTTGTAGATTTTCTAAAAGCAGCCATTTTTGTAAGGTTCCATCACATCTAATATTTGAAGATTCTTTGGAGGTGCTGTGTAGTATAGTGGAGAGAGCACTTGCTTTGGAACCAGGCATACCTGGGTTTAGTCCTAGCTCTGCCTCTCACTAGGCTCTGTGGCCCTGGACAAGTCACTTTTGACTGTGTTTCTTTGTTTAGTATGTCTGCATACTGTAGCCTGCTTGAAATACTTATGTATCAAGCACTACTGGTGAGAAAGTTGACAATGTATATAGGCATTTAGTATTTTGACAGTGTTTACGACTTATATGAGTAATAGCTATTATTAGAGCTGTTCAAGGGAATGGATATATAAAGTTATATTGAACTTAAAAATTAGAGCATGTTGTGTTCTCACGGCATATCTAAAGATGTGGATGGGGAAATAGGAGTCCTGAGTTCTGCAGCTGATCGTCTATGTGATTTTTTTCTTTAGGCATTTTGTATATTTTTTCAGCTGATTTCTGTATTTTTCTTAGCTCGAAAGAGTCATCTTGTTTCCCTGTGAGGCACCGGGAAGGATAAGCAACAATCTCAGTATCATAAGTGAGTTACTGGTTTTAGCTCAGTTGATTAAAACATGGTGCCGACGAGGTCCACGCTTCAATGTTGAACTGCAGATAGGTAGTTCAACTTGGCTGAAGAAAACATTCCAAATTTGCCCAATGTCTAATATTTATGTCCTCACTCGTAAGAAATGAGAGCATAGGAGCGATTCATGGACTCAGTCACTGCTGGAAAACCAATTCTGCATTCCACTGATAAGGATAGTAATTTCATCTTCATTTATCTTAATATAGGAAGTGTTGCACTTAGGAAACAATATCAGGCTTTCAGTAACTAGTCTGTGTTTATTGATAATGTTTGTCTAGATTTTTCTTGCTGAGGTCCTCAATGGCTAGCAATTAAAGGACCTACTTACAATTTTAAATTTAAAGTTTATTCTCACCTACGACATGTTATTTTCATGGTATTTATAGGGTCTTGTTTATTTCCTTTATCCTTAGCAATTGATAGCTTTCCCCCCACTTGCATAAAATCACCCATAATCTTATACCTTATTTCAACTTCTAATCTGAAACAACTCATGGTTGGATGAAAGGCCACCTTCTTTCCTTGCCTGCCTCTCCAAGTCTAAAATAATTTCTAGGGATAGAAAGACCAAGCATTTTCATTACTCATATTACATGTGCTTAATAGGATTTTTCTGAGCACCTGCTGTGCCTGCTCGGAAGGCATGCTTACCACTCAGTCTTCCACTGGTTTATCTGAAACATCAAAGCTTTGAGTGAACTCTTCCAGAGCAAATGTCAGCTTCAATGAGTATCATTTTCAAAGTAATATTTATCGTGCTTTCCAGGCATAAATGAGTCTCTGCAACTGGCCTTGAAGTTGCAAGCTGAAATTCATGGGAGCCATACATGTGGTAGTGTGGATACTCATATGGAACACAACTAATGCTTTGGGGAGGTATTGGCAGTTGGGAGCCTCTAACTGAAAAGATTATTTAACGTGAGATGATGTTGAGGATTCCGGAGAGTGTATATTAGCAGAGGCAACAAGTCCAGTCAGTCATGGGGAGTGTGGAGGGATGTTGTCTAGGTAATTCAGCTAACTGGTGGATGATTGGTACCTTTGCAGTTTAGCATCTGTGACTCTCTTGGGCAGAGTACCCTGTTAAACTTTCTAGGACTTTTCTTTTTAAAGCTTTCTAAGATTTTATGCAGGTAGTAGAAGTTCATTTCCACTAATGACAAATGCAAAGAAATGTTTGTGGCAAATTACAAACATAAGCTAAAAATTACTGTATTTATCTGTGTATCTCTCCCTCCCTTGCCATGCCCTTAAGTGTTTAGGAGTAACAGCTTCTAAATAAAAATGGCAGTTTTTGGAGCCTGTGTCTTAAAATGGTAATTGAACAAAAAGCAAACCAGTGCTCTCACAGAAAATGACCTACGTGGAAGGAAGACCGAGCGAGAAAAATGGGTCTGACTCCTTTAATCTTTTGGATAAGATGCATCTGGAAGAGATGAGAAAAACTATTATGGAGGTGAGGGTGTGATTTATTTGTCTCATGTGGTTGCAAACTTTACCTCTTGGAGAAGGGTAACTTAGGAGCTCCCCTCCTTTTACTCTGTTCCTTGGAAGTGGAAATACTTTGTCCATCTCACACAGCCTCCTGTTTCTGAAAATACTGGATTCTAGATTGGTGAGTGGTGTATTTGTGCTCATTTTATTTTATTATTATTACTTTTTAATGTTTATTTATTTTTGAGAGAGAGAGACAGAGAGAGAGAGAGAGAG